AAATCCAATCTGGGTTTGGATGATTTATCGACACAACACCCAGTAAGACGCTATACACACAGTTTCCACATCTCTGGACAGCGAAAACGCTCAATTTGTAACTCCTCTTTCAAAGCAATACATTGTTACATTTTGAGTCCGGATTACCTGCCAAAAAAAGATGTCTATGTGTAGATCATGTGTAGCATCATAAGAATGGGACCCACCATAATATGTGTTGGAAGGGAATTTTGTTGGCGGGAGATTCCGACACTAAGGTTTTTAACCCAGCTGGCTAAAATGTATGAATGGCCTTCCACTGTCTTACTGTAGCCGCACATTGACATATCAGTTCAGTTACATCTTTCTAATAATTCTTAGTGGACGGCCCACAGCCATCATTCACAGTTTTAGCTCAGGGCTAAAACAAATTGTTGTAAAAATAGTTTATTGTCATTGGGTATATGCCCCTATGGTTTTCTTACATGAGTCCCCAAGTGTAAATAAGTTACATTTTATGCCCTTTGTGATTTTTTTTCACCTTATATATATGGTGGGAGCTGTGAAAATCACACACACACAAAAAAAAAAAAAAAAAAAACTGCACTTGCTAAGTTTTGGAAAAGTGCAAATACCAATATATTCAATAAAAAACATTTGTATACGGTCTCACATCTCGTATGCTTTTCCAAGGTAAAACTTTACGTTCACACATTTATTTCAACAATTTTCCCCACATGTTTAAGTCATCTGTTTTTGTATTCTCTTTTTAATGGAAGTAATTATCATATCATCAAACTTTATTCACACCCATTGTTTCAAAACTGGATCAGACCGGATGGTTGGATTAGAAAAACCAGGAACTGGTTAGGTGATTGGTTCCATTTTATCGTAGAACCATTATTTCATCAAAAATCGTTGATTTGATTAGCAAACTGTTGACCTGGGCAGTTGAATCGTTTGAATCATTCAACGATTTAGCTATATTTATTTTTTTAATTTTTTTTATCAGAATGAGTCGTCTGTTTGGTTTGAACAATCGGACCGTTTGACCGGAAAACTGAACTCCTAACTGATTCATTATTCGATTCAGTTTTAAAAATCTTGCTCACATGCACCAATCAAGAGCCCTTTGCTAAACCATGACAGATCAATTATCCTTGCCAATTGCTAAACCATGGAGAAACCAACAAAGTTATGGGAATCACTATGTACATCTATCAAAAACTAACGATTAACTGAATATTTGATTCTGATATCATTAGGAATGGCAACGGGGCGGGGATCATATTCCCCGTCCCCTACCCCGATTATGAAATTGACCGTCTTTGTCCTCGATCCTCATCGAGGATAAAATTTGTCCTCCATCCCCGACCCCTGACAGCGATGGATTCCCTGTAGGACCTGAATCCCCATTTTTTTTTAAATAACAATATTTATTTGAAAAAAAAATTTACTTAAGACAAATAAAAATTTTAAATTATAAATAATTTTTTAAATATATTTTGATATAAATATAATATAAATAATATATACATATATATATATATACACACACATAATCGGGGTCGGGGCGGGGTGGAGATCTCAATCCCCATCCCCGACCCCATTGGGTCGAGGAAGTCGAGTCCCCGTCGGGGATGGAGAAAATTACCATCCCTAAATATCATTGTTGTACAAGAAGGGGAATTGTCAAAACCATAGTTTTAAAAAGAATATATACGTAATAAAAAGAAAATGTATATGTTCACTACAAAATGAAATAAATTGTATGCCTATATACATACACATGTATATACATTATATTTATATACATGTAAAAATAAAAAAATTATATTTATAGTTTGAGACTTACGTCTTGCCTCTACATTTAACCTTTTAAAACCTTAACCAAAATTGAGAAGCTCATGTACTTGTGTGTAGTACTTATACACAAGATTAGATACCTTTAATCCAAAGGCTTAAGTCATTAAATTATAAAGCAAAGTGAAAAGACTGTCCTATGATTTTGCCTTTTAAAACCTTAGCCAAAATTGAGCATGGCCAAGGTTGTAAGTCGTAACGCTTGCAATTATGGGCCCTCACTAAGGCAAAATGGGAAATATTCTAAGATTGTCCTTTGAAGGCCTGTGTACTAATAGGGCTGCCCTATAAATAAACCACACAGTGATTGGATGGTCAATTATCCCCACATCAGGGGCTTTGTGTGTTAATTGAATTCCATCAATTGGTTGCTTGGGATATCTATCAATGCTGTATCTTGGGCCTCTCCTCCTAGAGGGTTCCCCACATGCACATCTCAACCTGTATTGGAAATATCTCCCGTAATTGTTATGGAGAGATGTTCCCAATACACAGGTGGGAAGTGTTGTGGGGTGCTTGTGGGGCGTCAATCTGATTTTTCTTCTAAGGGATTCAATCAACGCAGTTTAATCAATGAAGAAGCCCTCACAAATGGTCTCGGGGGTGTTAGGCCATGTTTGGGAGTGTTTATGTTAAAAATAAGTACTTATTTGCATAAGCATTTATTCGTATTTTGGCATCCAATTTTTTAAAGTGCTTATTTTAAAAAATAAACACTTATTTTATATTGGGCATTTGATAGTCTTTTTCTCCAATAAGCACTTAAATAATCATTTGTGACTATTTTTTTCTTCATTTTCTTTTAAATTTCTAAAATACTTATGAAAGTACTTTTATTAAATTACTTTTATAAAAATATTTTTAGGAAAGCACTTTATAAAAGTACTTTCATGAAAGTACTTTTCTAAAGCGGTTTTAAAAAAATTATAAGTGTTATTTTAAAATTCAACTAGGGATAATTTTAGAAGAAAAAAATGAATAAGTGCTTATTATATAAGCACTTAAAAAAGCTAGAAATTTGGGCTTAAAAATAATTTTTTGGAAATTATCATAAAATATTGTTATTTAATTTACTGCTAGTTAATTACTTATAGAAAATTATTAGAATTGTAAGGATGACAATTTTCCCTATAAAACTAGGGCCTTGCCCTGCTCCACCCCGAATGGGGCAAGTTTTCTCAAATCTTAAACAAGGACGAGGCAAAGATGGGGTGGGGACGGAGAAAATATTTTTGCCCCAAATTAGAGATGGGATTTGCATATAATTCCCCAACCCAATGGTAAATTAATAAAATATATGTAAATTTAATATTGATTTTTAAAATATTTCTAAGTTTTCCTCATATTCTTATAATCCTGGGATCCCATAATTTCATTTATAAAATGCCCCAAATTGTCATAATCCAATTCTTAAAATACCCCCAAATTCCCATAATACTATTTGTAAAATATCCAAGAATTAGTTTTTTAGGTGACTGCCTTAGGATGGGGAAAATTTGGGGATTCCCCTTCTCCGACGAAGAATGGGTGCATTGCCCCAAACTCGCCCCACCATTGGGATCGGGACAGGGATGGAGTAGAATGTCTTAAAATAAGGAGGGGTGCCTCATCCCATGCATCACACAGGCCCCCGCTAGTTTCTTAATATGGGATTGACATGGGTATGGGGAGTAAACAATGAGCATTGCCAGTGCACAGATAACTGTAGCACATTGGAAATGTACAGAACATCAGAATCAAACGTTAGAGCACACCACGGCAATGGGTGTCAATTGGACCATATTTAGTCCAATTCAATCCGGTCTAATATGAGTCATTACAGATGTATCAGGTCCAATTGAATTCAATGAATACTTTGAACCATTTTGGATCGATCCAATTCAATGTCTGGACCGTTCAATCTATTCAAATTAGTTTTAATTTAAATTGGGTTCAACCAAAATCTGGTCAATTGACACCTGTATTATCTTTTTATTACTGACCAAATATTGATTCAATTCGACCCAATCCAATTATAGTTGGACCAAGTCCAATCAATCAAATAAATACCTTAGACCATCGAACTAGACTGGTGTAATTCAATGTCTACTTATTGCTCCATCCAGTACAATCCGTCCAAATTAATTTTGATTTGAACGATGTACAACCCAAAACCGATCCATTACCCCAAACCACGGCACCACTCACCAAAGAAAGAAAGAGAGGGGGCTTACCTAACATCGATTGAATAGAACACAGATTTTGAATAACAATCCTGTTGTTGGTCCAATCAATCTTCGGAATGAGGTTGATTGAATGGTGGGTCCAGATCATCCTCATTCAGCTTATTAAATCACTTATTTTGTGCAATATGCAACAAAGAAAGTTGGTTCTCAGCATGAATACAATACAACAAATACGAACACTACCTTCCGCGTTAAACTTTCTTGCTTTTCCTTTTGACCCGGCTTCATTCAGTACATGTTTTAGACTCAGACTTGAGTCATCTCGATCATTGACTCCTTGCATGGCAGCACTGGCACCGACTCACTAACCTGCTCCTTATCTTTCAATCAGTTCAGAGCCATCTCTCTCTCTCTCTCTACATATAGATCTTCTAAAGCCATCTCTGTTTTCCACATACACATCATTCGGAATCGGGGATGGCTTTGCGAATCATGTCGACAGTTATCTCTATCATTTGTTTCTTCTTCTTCACTAAATCCTTTGGCGAGCCTACAATTCTCCCAGGCCAACCCACCCATGTTTCTTTCAAACAGTACTCTGGTTATATTGTAACAGATGCTGCTCATGGCCGAGCTCTTTTCTATTATTTCGTTGAAGCAGATTCGGCTCATCCATTGTCTCGTCCCTTAACATTGTGGCTAAGTGGAGGTTTAATTCCGTACCAATCTTGATCCTCTTTAATCTAATTTTTCTTCTGAGATGTTTCTTCGATCTCCATATGTCTTCTAATACTTTGTTTAATTAAATCCAAATTGCTAGGTCCTGGTTGCTCTTCACTTGGTGAAGGTGCATTCACGGAAAATGGTCCATTCCAGTCTAAGGACAGTGGACACTTGGCTAAGAATATATATTCTTGGAACTTGGGTAATTTGAGTTTCACTTGGGTTATTTCAAATTCGAAATCTATTCATTTAAGAAGGAACTGAATTAAAACCACATGTTAAAATTGTCGACAGAATCCAACATGTTGTATGTGGAGAGTCCCATTGGAGTAGGCTTTTCATATTCCAACACCAGCTTAGACTACATTTCTTGGAACGACACTACAACTGGTAATTATGTTTTTTTTTTTTTTTTTCTCCTGAATATCTGTAGTACAACGTTTCGAGATTTAAAACTGACACTCACCTTGTAGGTTTTAATTAGCTATAATCCTTTTAATCTGTTGGTTCTTCACAGCTGAGGATAATTTGAAGTTTCTTCTTAACTGGTTGGAAAAATTCCCAAAATACAAACACTCAGACCTCTATCTAGCCGGAGATAGTTATGCAGGTAACAAAATGTTTAGTATTAAACAGAAGACTCCTTCTGTCTTTCGTACTCTTAAATCTTAAATTTAAAAATTTACGATTCTTCAGTTGTTGTTTCATTTTCCCAAAATTAAATGAAGCCCCTGTTTGCATGTTCCTATATAGAAGGCAATTAATCTAGTCGTCTATTTGAATAATAGAAGCCAGTTAGTTTGATCATAGATTTCAAATAATTCAATTCTTCGAATTATTAGAAATGCCTGGCAGAACGCTGTGAAATATATAAGAATATCGTGACAATAATAGGTTTGATTATTGTACGCCATTGATTGACTACAACTGTTCTTTTGTGTGTTCGTATCTATGACTCTGAACAATAGTATATATGGTTGTAGGCCATTACGTTCCACAGCTTGCATCTTTACTGCTGGAGTACAACAGGAAGCCCGACATCAGACCCATCAAGCTGAAGGGCGTTGCTGTAAACTCGTGAACTAATTACATCTTATTGTTTCAGTTATTCGATCTGTTGATAAATTTCTTTCTCTGCAGAGATGAGACATGATTTTATTGCTTTTCTGGTTGTAGCTTGGGAGTCCACTTCTTAACTTAGATATTAGCATGGAGTCCGCCGACGACTTGTGGTCGCATGGAGCAATCTCAGATGAAACATTAATGCTGGAGAAGACAATTTGTAAGATTCCAACATACTACAAGGAGTTGTTTGTCTATAAAAATCTGTCCAAGGAATGCATTGATGTGTTTGATAGAATCAATGGAGAGATTGGTGATGATCTCGATCGCAATGACCTGCTCTCGTTCAAGTGCTTACCATCGAGCAGAGCTGAACAATTTAGAGCCAGAGCAACAAACCCAATGGCAAAGGGAACGGTATGCTTTGAATATTTACGTAAGAATTAATTAAGATGGTAATTAATGGAAACATTTCTTGTTATGATCGATTTTCTTTCTGTTTGGATTATTTTACCAGAGTGCTGCTGATCCATGCCTCTCAGATAGAGTTCTTGCTTACCTCAACAGACCTAAGGTTCAAAAAGCACTTCATGCCATTCCAGTGAACTGGAGCTTTTGTTCAGGGTCTCTCTCTCTCTCTCTCTCTCTCTCTCTCTCTCTCTCTCTCTCTCTCTCGATATGTAACTGAAAGTTTGCATTTTGCAGGCCTCTTCAATACCAAATGGATAATGTGGATATAAACATAATACCAGTCGTCTCAGATCTTCTCAAGAGTAATATTTCCATCATGTTATACAACGGTGACCAAGACGCAAAAGTTTCACTCAGTCAGACGAGGATAATTGCTAATACTATTGCTAAAAGTTTGAAGCTTGTTCCCCTGACAAGTTATGGACCTTGGTATGATAATAAGCAGGTATACGATCCGTTCAACAACAATAACAAGGTTTCTGTGATTTTAAAACGAAATATCGGGACAACGTTTCTGATGCCATGTCCACCATCTGACCCCAGAAACTCACAAAGCACCTTGTTCAATTCATCCATCTTCTCAAATTCTCATTTTTAGGAAAAGTACGGACAGGTCCAATACAAATTTCCGATTTTCACTACAGAGCTATAAATATTTAAAATATCAATAACCCACACTCTATAAATCAAAGCTCTCTAGTAAATTAGTATGAATTCCGAGCTAACACATACCCCAACAGTACTTTGAACTTACAAATTCTGATCCAGGGATAAATCTGTCATTCTCCAGGCTCAAATTTTAATCTGTTGGTGTGGGATGGGCAGCCCCGGCCCATTTATAACATTTACAGCCAACAGACCCAAATTATCTTTAGATGTACTCAAAACTACCAACCTAGACCTACTTGATGATCCGAGTCCAAAGGGTGTCTAATTTTGTCTTTACTTATTAGGCCAAAACATCCAACTCTCTGCCTATCAACCCCTCTGCTTAGGTCCTCTTCCCCCCAAGGGCCACAAGGCTTTATGGAACTGCCGCCTTGAATAATATGAACGTTGGCAAAAAGGGCCCACACTAGCTTTGCCCTCAAATTCTTTTTTGATTTGCCTCAACCATGAATCAATGGGCAGATTTCCTTAAAAAAAAAAGAGAGAGAGAGAGAGGGTGTGTGTAGATATAGAGAGGACCCTCTGTTTAAATAAAAAGGAAATTATTGTCTTTCTTGCAGGTGGGTGGCTGGGCTCAGTCGTTTGGTAAGCTAAGATATGGAAAGAACGTGACATATCTTACCTTTGCAACAGTCAGAGGTGGATCGCATGGAGCTCCATACACATCGCCATCACAAGCTCTAACACTGTTCCGAGCATTTCTAAGTGCATCTTCTCTGCCCACGCCCAAAGTTGCCTAGAGGGAGGCTTTGAGCCCATAGCTCAATTGAATTGGTGCTTTAAACTTGCGTCTTTGTCTTCTTCACAGCTATAGCTACCTTATTTGTATAACTCTTTTGATAACAATAATAAATGTCCGATGATATATCTTCTTCTTTCCGGTGAAGAATGAGCAATATGTCTTCAACTCTACTTGTAACGCCAATTTGATTCTTTCTTTCAGACCTGAAAGGAGTAGCCCATCCCCAAACTAGGCTTGCAACTTGGACAGGCTTGAGTTATGTATTTGTTCAAATTTGAAGGAGCCCAGGTTTTAATTTTTCAAGGTCAGTTCCCAATTTAATTTATACACACAATACTCCAATGTGCTCCAAGGAGACGTGGCCTTATCATTCACCATAAATCAGACCATTTCCTCTTTTATGATAGGACCAAATCCAATCCTTCTTCCTAATTGGGAAAATTAGGGTGATCTTAATGCAAGGGGTTGGTGGTGTTTATTAAAAAGGAGAGGTTCAGATTGAACTTTAATTTTCAGGCTCTCTGTTGAAGTCTCTTCAAGTCGCTCCTTCAAAGAATTTGAAGCTGAACCAAAGTTAAGCCCTTCGAAATGGGCCCTTAATGTGATCTTTTTGTTAACGGATCTTCTCTCAGCATGAGTGGTTCCAATATTATTAATACACCCTGTACTTTTAAATTTACCACCACCTATTTTGGTGCCCAATTCGTACATAATCTCTTCAATACTAAGGCTGCATTTGGCATTCCTTATTTTAAGGAATTATCTCTTTATTGCTGTTAAAAATTCAATGTTCATAAGGGCATTTTAACTGCAAAAAGTAAATAAATCATTAAAATAAAATGCAGCAAAAAATGTTTAGTTTACAACCTATTTAAAATCCAAATTCTCAAATTTGTCTTTTATTATACAGGGATTAGGGGAAGGCCGGGGCCGGACAACCCAACCCAATGTTTAATAGACCTTGAATATTTTAATAAGAACCCAACAACCTGCAGGTCCAATTAAATACCCAACTCAACCCAAACATATTGATGGGCCGCTTGGATGATGATGGGTTTAATGGGCGTTTTTGATAGGTGGATTTGATGGGTTTGGTCAAGAATCACCACTCCCTCATTTGCAGGTGCTACTAAGCATCACTATACATACTGAATTTATAACATTGCAATGAAAAATGCTTGAATTAATATCTAATAATTTTCATGTTTAATAATAAACCGATTTGGAGGGGACATAAAATGAAATTATTTTGTTTGAAGTTTTCTCAACCTTTGAAAACATAAATTTGATTTATTACATGCGAATAGAGCTGAGTTCTTTTATGGGACTTAAAAGTTAAAATAAATGAATTCTCTTAACAGATATACAATGAATTTCATTGTGAGTGGTAATCTTTGGATCCAACAAAGGGAAGGAGGAGAAACTCAAATGAAAATTTTCCATTCCGAATACCTATGTCAAAATCTTAATTATGAAGGGGGGGGGGGGGGGTGATTTTACTTCAAAACAATATCTTATTTCTAGAGACCAACTACAGTGCAATGCATTTTGAAAATTTTTGGCATATTACATCATTATTTTAACTAATCATGTTAAGGATGTCACATGATTTAATTGCATATTGATTCATATTTCACAAGTTGTATTTATCATTAATTAACTTAACTTTAAAAATGTCATTGTGCTGCATCACTTCGTTTGAGTTATGTTGCAGCAATTTCTATAGATGCACCATGATTTTTGCCCTTATTTTAAATGTCAAATGGATTGATTCAACCAATAAAAAAACAAAAAAGTGAAAAAAAAAATCAATATTGCGAAGAAGAATATGTGCACTTTTGAAAAAGTTGTCCACATGGGATACTTATGGCCAGATTCATACAAGGTGAAGTTCCGCCTGATAGCAGCTCTAATTCCTCAACTGCTTTGAGACTAGGAGCCTGTTCGCTTCATCAGAAAGTTATTTTTTGTCTCATACTTCAATGAAAAGCCTGTTTTTTAGAGGTAGGACAACAAATTTAGGCTTTCAGGATTTTGCACCAAATATTGCTAATAAACTATTTTGGGTAGAGCACACCTTGCACTGTCAAAAGCTGAAAATCCTCCCAAACAAACACTACACTGAAGGTTCATTTGGGTGGGAAGACTGACTGACTGCCTATTTGAGCTGAAATTCCCTCCCATACAGGCACAGACAGCCCTTCAAATGCAGCTATCAAATTGGACTTGTCATATTAATCTATATCTATACTACTTTAAAAAGCATGAATAGCCTCAAGAATATTTCTAGATTTTTCTAAGGACAAATTTTACCCCTCTATATTTAAATTTATTAATAAAGGAACAAGGGCAAATAGGGTATCCATTTCTTCATATTAAATGAGTTGAAAAGAGGTAATTTAAAGATATTCAATACATTCAATTCTCTCTCATTAAATCCAACATTTGAGTTATTAATTTGTATTCATGTTCATTGAATCATATATTTAAGTTAGTTTTGTTTCTTCTAATCATTAAGTTCTATTAATTGAATCCATACTTAATAAATTAATAATTCCAATAACAAAAAAGCTTATAATTTTAAAATCTACTTAGTAAAAATAGTGTTTTCATCTAGGTGGTGGTAAGAAATTAAATCATTTTGGGTCAAATGGGTTAAACCATGTTGCCACGATTAAATAATAAAATTTAAAAAAAAATTGAAAACATTTTTTAACATGCATATTAAACAATAATAGTTATGATAAATAAGAAATATTTTTACTAATGATGGAAACGGAATGTAAAATTTAAAATCAATTGGAAATAAAAATATTTTCCTATTCTCTCTCATTAAATCCTATATTTAAGATATATTTTTTTCATCATTAAATTCTTATAATTAAATCCATAATATTAATTTTAATAGTATAAAAATGAATATTTTGAAAAGTAATTTGAAAACAAAACCATTTTCTCCCCTCCCGGTGGTGGGCAAGCAATTTGGCCATTTAGGGTCAAATGGATTGATAAATAATGTCATAATTAAATAATAAAAATTAAAATAAATAACTAGGAAATGTAAGAAGTATTTTTATTAATGGTGAAAATGGAATGCCAAATTTAAAACCCACCTATAAATGAAATGATTCCATAGTCAATTAATAAAATTTTTAATAATAGAAAATACAAAGAACCACAAAAGTATTAAAAAAAGATAAAGAAAATTTTGGGTACATATCTAATGTTATATATTTATAAAAAATAAAATATTGGGTACATCTCTAATATCATGCATTCATTATATTGAACAAAAATAAGTTTTATACATAAGAAATAATTTTATCAGTGATGGAAATGTAATACAAAAATTTAATGTCAACTTAGAAATCAAAATATTTTTTTCTTTTTAGATGGTGAGTTAGTGTATTGAGTCAAATGATATCAAAGACAAACAAAAATTAAGTGCGATAAGTAAAAAATATTTTATATAATGTAAATGAAATATATAATTTAAAGGGAAAATTATAGTCAAAGTCGGTTGTACATTTAAAATTAGGTTGCAAGTTGGTCTAGAAATCAACAAAACTCTAACAACCAGCTCTACATTTCAGATTATAAAAACCCCCACCATGTCATCGGAGGCTTATGTGATTGTTGCCAACATGAGACTCTTAGTCCATGTTGGACACAACAAAAAACCAATAACAAAAATAGGTTTTCAGTTTCTCCCACTCCCTCTATCTCTCGATCTCCCTCCCTTCTCTCTCACTCTCATAGTCATCTCTTGATCTCTCGCTCCCTTTGTCTCTCTCACTATTCCAGCTTCAATCTGTAGCCAAATCAAAACCTATCTCTCTTTCTCTCTCATTCTTCTCCCTCTCGGTCAATATCTCCTTCTCTCTCCTTCAACCTCTATCATTCTCCAATTTGTTTAAATTACATAGCCAAGAGTTTCTTATGAATTTTTATCAAATAGGTGTAATGATTTTTGAACCATACCAAATTGGTCTCATGTTCTTTTATACAATCTAATTATACCACATAAGTGTGTAAGAAAAAAAAAACGAGAGATGGAGTGAGAGAGAAACTGAAGGAGAACGATAGAAATTAAGGGAGAATGAGAGAGTGACTAAGAAAGAGAATGAGAGAAATTGAGGGAGAACAATAGATAGAGAGAGAGAGAAAGAGAAATTGATATAAAGAACGTAAATATAGGAACCAAAAACCATTTTTATTTATTTTCAAATCACACAGTCGTTGAACAAATAAAAATGACCATGTGAGTGAGAGAGTGTGAGGGAGATTGAGAGAGAGAGAGAGAGAGAGAGAGTGAGTGAGTGAGTGAGTGAGTGAGAGTGAGAGTGAGAGTGAGAGAGAGAAACTAAAGACCCTTTTTTTTTATTTTCCAATTTTGGTATAAGCTTTTTGTTATGTCCAATATGGATTAAGTGTCCCATGTTGGCAACAACCACATAAGCCTCTGATGACATGGCAAGGGTTTTTATAATTTGAAGTGTAGAGCCAGTTGTCAAAGTTTTGAAGGTTTATGGGCCAACTTGTAGCTTAATTTTAAATGTGTAGTCGGCTCTGACTATAATTACCCAAATTTAAAACTAATAATCCAACTTTTCAAAGAAACTCATGATATCATAATTGAATAATAAATATTTAAGAAAAGAAAAAACACTAAAATGAAAATGTACAGAATTTTTTCGATAACATTTGAGAACATTTTTTATGTTATATATTCATCATATGAAATAAAAATAATTTTTAAAATAAAATTCATTTTTTATTTATGATAAAAATACAATACAAAATTTAAAAATAATAATAATTGTTATTTGCTACAAGCATTTAAGTTTATTTTTAATCATATTGTTACTTTTGTTAATTTTCAATTTCTATCTTAACTATGGTATATCTAAAATTCAAGTAATTAATATAAAGAAAAATTTCTCACGTGCAACGCATGTGCTTAATTGCTAGTTATATATAAAAGTGGGAATGCAATGTGAAACTTTTTTGAGACTAAAATTCCCTCTACTTCTTTGTTTAAGAAAGGGTATAAAAGTCATTTTATTATAGCTTTAATGACAGCTTTTATAGCTACTAAAATGTCTATAATTGTGTACTTAGTTCATCTCTAATGGTA